CCGACCCCGCCCAACGAAGCGCAAACTATCGCGGGAGATGTCGCAGACCCTTCTCGTAGATACCAACTCGACGCAATCGCCCGACACTTGTAGCACTTGGATGCGGTTGGTCGTACTTGGTCGCACGGTCTTTTACCACGGCAAACGTTGAGGACAACATTGGTCAAAGAGGTATGCTGCCCATTGCGCTGCCCGCAGGAGCGTTGGCCTCTTCTCCGGCGCCGCCGCCTGTCTGCGGAGAGGTGTGGGGCGCCACCGGCGCCGCGTACACCAGCGCGAGCATCAGCGGCACGTGGGGGCTGTATGAAGACCTCACCCCGGACCTGTCAGAGCTGGCGTCCTACTGGTCGATCGGCGACGAGTACACCGTCTCAATGACGGCGACCTCGACGTGCAGCTCGAGCCAGAACCTGGGCTTCGAGGGCGGCGGGGTCGGCTACTTTCAAGTGACCGTCCCCGCCAACGCCGTCAACGTCCGCGTCTCGGCGACGGACACGGTGAGTGTGACGGGCACCGTGAACGCTGGCTTCCAGTCCAGGTCCACCAACTCCGCGTCGTGCACCATCACCGTCACGGACCTGTCGGCCATCAACGTGGCCGTCGCCGCCGCGTGCGAACCCCCGCCGCCGTCAGCCCCGCCGGCGCAACCGCCGCCTCCGGCGCCGCCGCCTGTCTGCGGAGAGGTGTGGGGCGCCACCGGCGCCGCGTACACCAGCGCGAGCATCAGCGGCACGTGGGGGCTGTATGAAGACCTCACCCCGGACCTGTCAGAGCTGGCGTCCTACTGGTCGATCGGCGACGAGTACACCGTCTCAATGACGGCGACCTCGACGTGCAGCTCGAGCCAGAACCTGGGCTTCGAGGGCGGCGGGGTCGGCTACTTTCAAGTGACCGTCCCCGCCAACGCCGTCAACGTCCGCGTCTCGGCGACGGACACGGTGAGTGTGACGGGCACCGTGAACGCTGGCTTCCAGTCCAGGTCCACCAACTCCGCGTCGTGCACCATCACCGTCACGGACCTGTCGGCCATCAACGTGGCCGTCGCCGCCGCGTGCGTATCCCCGCCGCCGTCAGCCCCGCCGCCGCAGCCGCCGCCTCCGGCGCCACCGCCTGTCTGCGGAGAGGTGTGGGGCGCCACCGGCGCCGCGTACACCAGCGCGAGCATCAGCGGCACGTGGGGGCT